GTTGCAACCTCGGAGAGAAAGCTGCCTTCCCACTTCTCCCGTTGAGTTAGGTCCTAGAGACTCGCCCGGATCTGAGCTCAGAGTCTGAACTCCTCCCGATTGAAACACACCGCGCCTGCGCGCCGGCCCGCTCCACATGCACTCAGCACCTTAGTATTTACTTCAGCACTGCGCCTCCTCTGAGTCACGGTATGGTTTCCTCTTTCCTCCTAGTTGTAGAACTTCCACTCAGCCAGCCTTCCTGTGGTTCTGGATGTCCGTTCCGTTTTTTAGTTGTATTTTTGAAGTGGTTGTTCGAGGCAGCAAACTCCGCTGTTAACCTATGCCCGCCATCTTGGTTCCTCGGTTAAACTTATTCTAATATCTCCCTGTACACCACATTAAGAGTGAAAACACTTTCAGAGTGCTTGACTAATTTCCCTTGTGATGAAGTACTTAGAACTTTAACTGTAACATCACATGCTCTTCAAACTTGAGAGAAAGCAACATATAACTGACCACGTGCAAAAATGGGTTCAGGTAGGAATATGCCTACTCTGTCTAGAGTTTGTCCTTGTGATTTATTAATAGTTATCACAAATGCTGGCATCACGGGAAACTGTCGTTGAATCAATTTAAATGGGAGGCCAGTGTCAGATGGGGACAAATTAATTCTTGGAATCAACAGCCTCTCCCTCTGCAGATCCTGTTAATACTTCAGCTTTGATAATGTTAGGTGGTAATCTTTTGATAATAAATCTGGTACCATTACAAAGACCCCATTTACTATTGAGATTTCTCAATAGCATGATGATTGCACCCACTTTCAATTTTAATTTATGACATGGCATTCCCGAAGGAGTAATACTATTAAGAATTCGATGGGAAAATTTTCCTTTTCAGCATCATCTGTGGAATCAATGGAATCATCACTCAAATACGTGTGAAAATCTCCATCGAGTATATCCAAATTTTCTTCTCTGAATTTTTGAACATGCTCATTTTTTGGACAAAGAATTGCACGTTTAATATATTTTTAATATTATCTATACCAGTGGTTCTCAACCTTGGCTGCACATTAGAATCACCTGGGAATCTTTTTAAAATCCTGATTCCTGGGCCCCATCCTCTGGAAATTGTTTCTTTGTTATGGGGTGGGGCCACAACATTAGTAACAAAAAAACAGAATTAAAACTTTATTGTGGGGAGCCACTACAGTGTTTCGGACAGGTTCAAGCCTTGGACTGATTAGAGAGCACAGTCCTCTCATTGCCACATGCAAGTCCCAGCTTGGAGGGCAGGGCCCTCCCAGCACAATTATAGCCAACAGCTTGAACCTATGGTCCAAACACGTGGCCCCACGTGCCTGAGTGATGTAGGCTTGATAGAGTTCAGGTGCATGTAGTTGAATAGGATTGAAATCCAGGAGAATGTTGTAAACATCTAGGTCACGCCCTTACTTTGCCTTGTAGCATCTGCTATAAAATAAAGGCATGGCTGTGGGCGTGGTTGCTGTCTCTCAGAGAAGCAGTGTCCCACCGAGACCTGGCTTTCATTTTCTTGTCTGTCTTTTCTAAGCATTTCAGCCTCCCCACTCAGGTTCACCCCTGGCTGTGCTGGCGTGCAGCACACTTTAGAAAGATCTGCCTGCAAGCTCCCAGGGTGGGTTCCTGCCTCAAACCCCGCCGTTACAGGAAACAGTTCTGGGAAACAGCTTGGGGGAGGGCACAGCCGCTCCCAGACAACCCCTGCAGGACTGACTTCCTTCCGCTTGGTTGTGGCAGTTCTTCTGGATGTGATGAACACTACCCATGGTTTTTATATAAGTAGACTAGAGGCCCGGTGCACAAAAATTTGTGCATTCGGGGGTCCCTCAGCCCAGCCTGTGCCCTCTCGCAGTCTGGGACCCCTCGGGGGATGTCCACCTGCTGGCTTAGGCCTGCTCCCCGGGGGATTGTGCCTAAGCTGGCAGTGATACATCCTTTGGGGGATGTGCACTTGCCAGCGGGCTGAAGCTGCAGTTGAACATCCATAGAGCTGCTGAGGAGGCAGGAGAGGCTCCCACCATCGCCGCTGCGATGCTGTCAGCCTGGCTTGTGGCTGAGCAGAGCTCCCCCTGTGGGAGTGCACTGACTACCAGGGGGCAGCTCCTGCATTGAGCATCTGCCCCCTGGTGGTCAGTGTGTGTCATAGTGACCAGTCATTCCCAGTCATTCTGCTGTTAGGGTCAATTTGCACATTACCGCCCTAACGGGTTTGGCTCAGTGGATAGAGCGTCGGCCTGCGGACTGAAGGGTCCCAGGTTCGATTCCCGTCAAGGGCACATACTCTTGTTGCCTACACATCCCCAGTAGGGGGTGTTCAGGAGGCAGCTGATCGAAGTTTCGCTCTCATCGATGTTTCTAACTCTCTATCCCTCTCCCTTCCTCTCTGTAAAAAATCAATAAAATATATTTTGAAAAAAAAAATGGCATGTGCACATTACCCCTTTTTTATATAGGATAGAAGCCTGGTGCACGGGTGGGAGCCAGCTGGTTTGCCCTGAAGCGTGTCCCGGATCAGGGTGGGCAGGGGACCCCCAGCTCCCTACGATCGCCCACGCTGCCCCTGCTCATGATCGCTGGCTCTGCCCATGGTCAGGCCTAACATCTCTGGCCAAGGCATTAGGCCTGGGCAAGGGACCCCCAGCACCCCACCATCGCCAACTCGGCCCCTGATCCCTGTGATTGACGGCTCCGCCCTAATGCCTCTCACCCAGGCATTAGGCCTGGGCAGGGGACCCACAGCTCTCCAAGGGACCTCCTGCTCCACCCCTTCCCAGGCCTAACGCCTGTGGCCAAGGCATTAGGCCTGGGCAGGGGACCCCAAGCTCCCACCATCAGCGACTCTGCCCCTGCTCCCCATGATCGCTGGCACCGTCCCTGCCCAGCTGCAGCCGCCCTGTGATTGCTGGCACCGCCCCTGCCCAGGCCTAACGCCTCTGGCTGAGGCTTTAGGCCCGGGCAGCGGCGACCCGCAGCTGCAGCCGCCCCTGCCCAGGACTATTGCCTCTGGCCGAGGCATTAGGCCCGGGGAGGGGACCCCCACAGCTGCAGCCACCCCACGCTACAGCCGCCCTGCGATCGCGCAGCTCCCATCGCTGGCTCCACCCCTACTTCCAGCTATCACTGGCCAGTGCCCGATCATGGCTGGAGGGCAGGGCAAAGGCGCCTTTGCCCTGCCCCCCGGCTCTTAGCTCCCCTCTGGGTTTCCAATCACTGTCAGTGGCAGGGGGCTTCTTCCGTGCTTTCCCTTTCGCCTCCCTGCATTGCGCCTACATATGCAAATTAACCGCCATCTTTGTTGGCGGTTAACCACCATCTTGGCTGGTGATTAATTTGCATATCTTGCTAATTAGCCAATGGGAAGGGTAGTGGTCGTACGCTAATTACCATGTTTCTCTTTTATTAGATTAGAAGTGTGTGTGTGTGTGTGTGTGTGTATATATGTATATATATATATATATACACACACACACACACACACACACATACATACATACAGTGGGGCCTTGACTTACGAGTTTAATTCGTTCCAAGACCGAGCTCATTAAGGAGCTCGTTAACTCAAATTACTCTGTCAACTCAATGCAAAAAATCGGCTGAGAGACAGCTGGTATCTCAAAAAACTCGTTAGTCGGGACACTCGTAAGTCAAGGCCCCACTGTATATATATTTATATTTACATTTTTCCCCTATTGGTTCTGTTTCTCTGGAGAATCCTGTATAATATACTGTCTACAGATTTTTCAAAGACCATAACCACAGGTATTAATTCGCTGCTTTCTGATATGCTAAATCTATTACTTCCACTGCATTAAAGCCAAACCACTGCATAAAATCCAATCACTAGATGAAGGATATTCTTCTAAAATGAAAATGATGAGAAATGACAATAAAAGGATGAAGAAAAAGCTTTCCAACCGATATACCTAGTAGACCAGCCCAATGGACATTTTTGTAATGGTGGAACTTTTTAGTCGTACAATAGAATGATTTCAGGGTGAAGACCTCTTCAAAAGGTATTACACTTTATTGTGAAGGCTTTGGCAAAATTTATAGAATGAAAAAGAAGAAAATATGCTAACAAAATGGGAAAAGAAGAAAAAAATAACTACCTCTTGGTTATCTTTATTTTGGTGCGGCCAGAAAATCTTATGATAAAGCGTCTACA